ATCCAGCAATACTGAACTCACATTCCTCTGGGTCGATTCTCCTGTTCTTGTACAACAGTTCTACAGCACCTGCAATATCTGGTTGGTGTACTCTTAGTAGTGTTTCAAACTCCTATATCTTATCGAGAAACGTGTCAGTATTAGTGTACATGGCATTCAAGCCAGAATTTGTTCTCGGTAACGTCTCTGCTCTTAGTAGTAACCCCCCCTCCCCCCCCATTCTCAGAAGCTGCAGCATTTGCTAAGTACACTGTATTTTGCACGGTGTGGTTAGAAATGTCATTGTTTACACGGCGCTCGCCTCCTGTCCGGTAGGCGGAGCTGGTACCGCCTCCCGGGTGAGGGTTAGAGCTGCCCCCTGGCCCTGTGTCGGCACACTTGGTTTCACTACCCTCCCCCTGAGTATAACCCATGTATACCCATCCCCGTTCTTCCTTGACTCCCCCCTCTTCTGCTTCAAGTCCTGCAGGAGCTTCTTGTGCTGTTCCCTCTGCATTACCGTGCGATCTGGGTGAATGAATACATCCCGAAATGCCTCGCTCCTTGCTAAGTTTTTTGCCTGCCGAATAATCTGCCATTTCTCCTCCTCACTCACTAGTGTGAACCTGAGGGGGCGAGGCTTATCCCCCTGCTTTTGTCCCAGCCTCTTCACATCCTGAGAGGTTGATGGAATCCTCAGAACCTCTGTACAAATATTTTATAACTGCATCTTATCGTGTGTTACTTTACTCACAGTTCCCCCCGCCTGGCTCTCTAGGACTCCAAAAACTATTGCATTGTTCCTACGCTGGATACGTTCCTGGTGTTCCTCCTCTCCCCTAACAGTCAGTCCGTTAATTTTAATTTCTTCGACACACTTCTTCAATGTCCCAAGCTGTTGTAGAACCTGTTCTGATCCTGTATTACTCTCCGCCCCCTCCCGTGGCCCTGCTAATATGTCAGCATAACTCCTCTTAGCAACCACCTCCATTCTATCGGCTACTTCCTCAGTCTTAGCAAGGATCTCTTTCCCAACTTGCTCCAGTTTGTCAACCAGCAGGGCTCCAGCTTCATCTATTTTCGTCCCTAGAGAACTCGTTCCCTTATGGCTTGCAATTGCTTCATTCACCTTGACTATGCAGCCAGGGCAATACCAGCAACAGCCATCATGCTTTACGGCAGTTAGTTACTTACTAAACGTTGCATTAGTCAGGCCTGTATCCTCCATATCTGACGTCTTCCTGCAGTAATCACATATCAAACTCATGGTTGTTGTTGTGGGGGCGGGGGGTGCAGACTGTGTATAGATCTACACCTGTTTAAAAAAGTAAAGAGAAAAAGAACAGTACTTAGCTACTCTCTATTGCATAGAGTTGTCGTCTGCGACTGCGTACACTGTATCTCCCTGTGAATGGTGTATTGTAGGCACAGTTTCAGTCCTTGAGAAAGCACACAAACAAAATAAAATTTAAAGTCTCTGTGGCCCCTATAACACGACTTGGTTTCAGCTGGCACGGTGCCTTTGGGTTCCCACTGTATATATACGTATAACCCCTTCTCTGCACGAAGGTAACTGATGCGCGACTTCAGAGTTCGATATGCCACTCCTTAATACTGTAAGTCCAATATCTGTGTCTTGAATTTTTCTTCAAATGTTCTCACAGTACAGTACTGTAAGTGCATTTTTTTTTTTTTTTTTTTAACACCACAAGCACTGCCACTAATTTTCCTTTTAAGGGCTGTGATTGCAGTAAAATTCACCCAGTAGAGAAACACTTAATAGTGCAAACGCCGGGAAGATATTCATGGGACCAGTGTGAGAGAGAGAAAGATGCCAGAGTTATGTTATGAATATTTTTCAACAAGAAATAATTATCATGTCAGAACTCACTGATGAAAATATACTACAGGGAAGATATAGGGAGAGGATGTTTTGAAGAGTCCAAGTGGTATAAAATTAAATTAAAGGGAGGGGACTTACTTATTGTCGGGTGTATCTACAGATCCCCAAACTGTGGCCCACTAAATCAAAGGAACTTAACAGCCTTAATAGGCAATGCAGCGATGCTAAACCCTAGCCACCTCCTTATCATGGGGGACTTTAACTATAGCGACATAGACTGGAGAAACGAGTTCCCAAATGACTTGAATAACCCTGCTACTCTTTTTGTAGAAACTCTAGAGAGATAATTTTCTGTTCCAACATGTTAAAGACCCGACACATTACAGAGGGGAGCAAACACCCAAGCCATTAGACCTCATCATAACAAATGAGAAGGGTATGGTGGCCACACTGGAACATCTTGCCCCAGTTGGCACCAGTCACCACGTAGTGTTGTCATTCAGATTTAACTGTTACTTAGCTCATGATAAAACCAGGCCATGGTGCAAATATTACAAGGGAAATTACGACGGGATGAGGGAGGAAATGATGGGTATCCACTTGCCTGACTCACTAAGGCACAAGAATGCAGACACTATGCTGAATATCATAACTAGTAAATTGACCAATTTAATCAATAAATATATACCCAAGACCAAACCCAGTGCCTCTAGGAATACGAGGAGACTCCTACACATGAACCATGCAGCAGTCGACAAAGTTAAGAAGAAAACCCAAAAATTCAATACGTGGGTTAGGTCAAACGATGAGCAGGACAAGAGGATGGATGCAAGAGCCAGAAACCAAGCAAAGGCAGAGTGTAGAAGGTCTGAAAAGGAGTTTCAGAGGCTGGTTGCAAGGGAGGTCAAGTCAAACCCAAATGCGTTTTACCGCTATGCAAAGTCAAAACTAAAAACACGAGTAGGAGTATCAGACCTGAGGCTTGAAGATGGTAGTTATGCAGATTCTGACCAGGATAAAGCTGAGGCATTGAACAGCTTCTTTTCCTTGGTGTTCACAAGAGAGCATGCGATTAACCTTCCTACGTTTGAGGGCAGACGGTTTGACAGCACTGACCCACATTGTGTACACAGAAGAGGGTATAAGAAATAAACTCGAAGTTAAAGGAACATAAGAGTCCCGGCCCTGACATGGCTGCATTCCAGAGAGCTAAGAGAGTTGAGCAGCGAGCTTGCCGAGCCCCTGAAGATTCTGTTCTGTAAATGCCTGGATAAACAAAGGGTCCCCAGTGATTGGAAACTGGATTATGTGAGTCCTATGTTCAAGAAGGGCGATCGTCACTCCACGAATGACTATAGACCAGTGAGGCTGACCAGCATAGTATGTAAAGTACTTGAGAGCATTATAAGAGATGCCACTATGGAACATCTACTCCGAAAAAACCTTATAAAGGATTGCCAACACGGTTTTATGCCGGGGCGGTCCTGCCCACAATTGCTCAAGGTATTGGATATTTGGACCCATATTCTGGAACGGGGTGGTAATATCGACAATATATACCTAGATTTTGCCAAGGCTTTCGACAATGTACCCCATGAAAGGCTGATAATTAAACTGGAAGGGTACGGGATTCGGGGAAATCCCCTAGCGTGGATCGGAGACTTTCTCCATGACCGCAAGCAGCGTGTGGTGATTATTGGCATGACATCATCATTTGTACTCGTCACAAGGGGGGGTACCACAGGGCAGTGTATTGAGCCCGCTGTTATTTGTTTGCTTCATAAATGACATGCCTGACGCTGTACATTCCTCTATACAAATGACGCAAAGTTATTTCGGGACTGTGAAGAGCTGCAGGAGGATCTCTGTGAGCTTCAAGAATGGTCGACGAAATGGCTGCCTAGATTCAATGTCACGAAGTGTAAGAGGTTACACCTGGGACGTACCAACGGTAAGGAGGCGTATCCTATGTCCCAACAGGACGAAAAAACTGCATTAATTGAGACTGAATGTGAGAAGGACCTGCCTGTAAGTGTGTATGTTGACAATGAGCTGAAGTTGTCGGGCCATTGCGAGAAGAAGGTAAATCAGGTAACTAACTATTAAGTCTTATAAGAAGGACGTTCATATATCTAGGAGGACAGTCCCTCGTAACGATCTTCAAGAGTGAAGTGCTTCCCCGTATGGAGTAATGTCACCCCGTCTGGTCCCCGAGATACGCTTGGGACTGTCAGTTGATTGAAAATGTGCAAAGGAGGGCCACCAGACTAGTTCCTACACTACAGCACTTCAGCTACCCTGAGAGATTAGAGCGCCTGAAATTGCCTAGCTTATGGTACAGACGAGCAAGCGGAGACCTAATTGAGGTGTATAAGTATATCAAAGGCCACTACTCAGTCGAGAGCCCCCCTTTTTTTTTTATTGGGCACCCCCCTACATCCTTGTGGAAGGTAAAGCGAAGAAACGTTTACAGCGCCCAACAGGGAAGCATGCTAAGTTCATGCTTGCCTTTACGTCTCATGAGTTAAGGGCGTAGAAGTCTGAAGAGTCAGTGGTTTATGTCTAAGCAAGTTATTGGAAGCTCCAACAACTTATCCCTGAATAGGAATTCGCAACTTTCGATATACAGCAGGTACCTACATTGCTGCTAAGTGAACAGGGACCAAGGGAGGCTGGGAAGTGTGTCCGAACAACTTTCCACCGCCTGGAGCTGGCGGACGTTCGCCCTACAAGGGGTCACACCTCGGTTGAGGAAACCGCAAGCCCAGAAAACTGTGAGGGGTAACTTTTTCGGAGTGAGAGTTGTGAACTCTCGGAACAATCTGCCAGAGTGTGTGAGCTCTTTCAAGACCAGACTTGACAAGCACTGGAGCAGGCTCAGATACATTCAGGAGCCAGCGCATGCCCTGTACTTGCCAACAGTGCGTAACAGAGACGTGACCGATCGCCCAAGCGGCTAACGAGCCGATCAGTAGTGAAGATGATATAAGTAAAAGTGGAGTTGCAGAAGCCGCAGCACTGCAACAGAACAGTGAAGGTGGCGAGAGAATAGTGGAGAGTTAGAACAGTGAAGGGGAAAGAAGAATGGAGAGGCTTAAAACGTACAAAGGGGGATGACAATATTGGAGGGGAATGAGGAAACATAAAGAAGAGGGGGAGGGGGGGAATAAGGGATTAATGAAGAGTGAAACAAATGTACCGGTAGATGGGTAAATTCTTTTGAGTAGCTATTTTGGCGTCCGCCTGACGCGGAAACAAACATATTGAGGGGAAGAAAGATCATTGTAATGAAAGGAACAAGGGCATACAACGAATAAACAGGTGAGGTGAAGTAAATTTAAATTTAATACTGTATATCATTTCACCATTTGCCAGTTGAATTATAGCCGTTCGGGCGGAACAAGCTATAGACTTGGGAATAAAATAAGTGATTGGGAATACATGGACTTAAGGTAGGCCAAAATACACTGATGGGGGAACAAGGATAAATCTAAAGAAAATCATAGTATGGGATCAAACAAAGGCACAGGGACTGAAGAACAAACAAGTAGTTCCTTCATCCCACCCGGCTAACTTAAGGGCCAGGGATACCACTAATAAGTTGAATTGTAAGCATTAAATTATTTTGAGTTGATTTCTTATTACAGTGACTTTTTATATAATTTTGAGTTATTTGATATTTCCGAAAATGATAAAAGTTTCTGACCAAGACTTTCCACAAAATATATCCTGTTTCATTGTTTGTTTACATGTGAAACACTCGGGCATGTTGGTCACCCTGAGGTGTCAAAGAAGAGTCTGAAGTCAATAATCATTTTGGAAGAATAATTACTGCCAATGAATTTATATTACACTAACGTCATGTATACTTAGAATATTTGTTGTTTTATTTGTAAAATATATATTTTGATAAATTAAATTGAGATTTAGGAAATTGTCTTGAGAAATAGAGGTAGCAGACGAAGATCAGAGGCCGATGGAAAGATGGCCGACTCGATGAAATATGTAAAGTTAAAGCGAAGTGAAACTTGTGGTTTTGGGTTTTCTATCTTGGGAGGAGCGGGTTCGGAACTCCCACCAATTATTTATGACATCATTGAAGGATCACCGGCAGCAAATTCATGTCAGGTAACCATTAACAGCTTACATCTAAGGGCAAGATTATGGTTCTAAGTATTCCGATTTTTCCCCTAGTTTAGTTTAGTTGACAAACATTTGTATTTCTGAAATCTTTATTCAAGTATCAACCTCACAAGTTGTATATTCAAGTGGTATTAGTTTGAGATTTCTTTTCTTCGTCGTTAAATTGACTGCCACTTGTCATAGGTTACTGTGTGAATATATTTTCGTTGTAGGTGTAAATTAATATCCACTACCACACCCCTAATTTTGGAAATAACTAGAGTCAGACTTAAAAGCAGCGAAAGCAGACATTTTAGTAATGTTGTACTTGAGCTCTTCATTCTTGATAAAGCATGAAACCAAAGAAATGCCTTCCCCAAATGAAGTCTATAATATACATATTATGTTCTCTTGAGTTGATTTTCAGGAACAAATAATTTGGTAAATATGAAGAGAAGAGGACCAACCTCTTCTAGCTTATGTTTCATCATTTAACTTTGCAGGATTGTGGATTTTAATGCATTTATCATAATCAGTTGGCAAGCTGATGACATTTAACTTACAAGACACTTAAAATTATTAGTTAGGATCTACTTGGTGAGAGTCATTTGGCCTCAACAACAACCTAACAAAATTTGTCCATAGAAGATAAAACCTTAGTGATTAATCAGTTTAGCACATGACCTGGACTTAAGGATAAAAATTGTTTCTTATATAAAATGTAATTCTGATTCGATTTTCTTTTATGGTATTTTTTGTTCAAATGAGCGATTATGAAGATATGCCCCCTATCCAACAATTTTGAAGCCCACAAAAGTGGACAGGGCGTGGAATTAGAGAGAATTTGTGGGGACACTACCAAACCTTAAAAACCTAACCTAACCTAACCTAATGTAATTTAATACAGTGAGGTCAGTTTGTAATAAGGCAGCTGATTGGTTGGGGAATGGACACTTGAAGAATCACTACAGTTTTAAAGTATTTAATCTATCATATTTATATTATGATATTTTAAGGATAAACACTTTTTGTGTTAATCTCTGATAATTTCTGCACTCGGGGAAGCAAAATTAGCATGGGATGTAAACTCCACCTTCCCTTGTGACATCATGGAGCAAGTTGGAGGATGTAGCTGAAAATTTTTACTCTTATTTTCTTGTTCTCTTCATGATATTTATGTTACCAGAGCATTTTACAAGCTTATTTTTGCTTCCCCAAGTGTGGAAATTATCAGAGTTCAACAGAGAAAAGTTATTATTTCTTAAAATAACGTAATATAAATACAATAGATTAGATAATGAAGAACTGTAGTGATTCTTCAAGTGTCCATTCCCCAACCAATCAGCTGCCTTATTACAAATTGACCTCACTGTATTAAATTACATCCATCAGCCAATCAGCTGCCTTGCTACAAACTGACCCTAGATTCATTTGCAAGCCTCAGGTGAACAGAATATAGGCTAGATCACTTAAGTTAAAGGCCATTAAGAGCTGGTTAGGGCCCCAAAAAAGATAAGTTTATGGGCCCCTTTTACAGATATATTTAATATTTATAACCCTCTTTTCCATGGCCCTCTAGAAGTGGGTATGGTATAATATGATTCTAGGTAACATAACTTCATGTATCATCTGTCTGCTACCTGATTATGAAAAACATAACAAAACAAAACAAAACACTGAAGTCAGTAGTTTTGGAGAGATTCGTGTCAGAACATAAGAACATAAGAAAATAAGGAGTCTGCAATAGGCCGGTTGGCCTGTGCATGGCAGCTCCTGTCGAGAGTTACTACCACTCTCTATCATCCATGAATCTATCCAGCCTCCTTCTGAAACTTTCCAGCATTCCAGCACTTACTACAAAGTTGCTAAGCTTGTTCCACTCGTCCACCACCCTATTTGTGAACCAGTTCCTTCCTATCTCCCTCCTAAACCTAAACTTATCCAACTTAAAACCGTTGCTTCGAGTCCTATCCTGCTCGGATATTATAAGAACTTTATCTATATCCCCTTTATTGATTTCTTTCACCCACTTAAATACTTCTATCATATCTCCCCGCACTCTTCGTCTTTCTAGGGAATGCAAGTTTAGTTTCTTTAACCTATCTTGATATGGAAGGTTTCTAAGTCCCGGAATCATTTTCGTCATTCTTCGCTGCATCGACTCTAGTGAATTGATGTCCATTCTATAATAAGGGCACCAGAACTGAAGCGCATAATCGAGGTGCGGCCTGACTAGCACAAGATATAGTTGCAATAAGACCTCTGCACTCTTATTACTTACACTTCTAGATATAAAACCCAATACTGGGTTGGTCTCTTTGCTTTACGTTCAGGAAAAATGAGCTATATTCAAAATTGTATGCTTATGAAAATCTCTACTGATCAGGGGTGTCCCAAGCAAAGTTCCTCCTAATTCTTTACATCATTGTGTAGATTTTTTTTGGTAATGTGTACCAACATCAAGGTAATGTGCTAATGTGTGCACCAGTAGAAAAAAAAAGGCTATTACTGTACTGTACTTGATGACTGTTCTGTGCCATTAGCACCAATATGAAGAAATTTGGGTACAGTAACACAGGTACTGTATTGTGCTTGATGAGACTGGTCTGATCTTAGCACCAACTTGAGGAAATTTCTCTGTAGAAAACACAACCTCTCATACCACAAGAAAATAAAACAAAACTAAAGGAATAACATGTTTCGTGCAAACCATAAAACTGAAAAGTTTTATGGTTTTTTATATTTTCTGCTGTTTAGCTTTTGAGATCAAGCATTGGTTTGTTTCATAGATAGTAAATGGAGAAACTTAATTTACCGTACCTAGCAAAACATAATTAGAAATATTATACCTGTACAGTAGTTATTTTCTTTTTATTCTTCTAAACTAAAATGCAACTCCCTTCTATTTTATATATTTTAGTTACTGATATTTCTATAGTTTATTGTTCATTACGTGAACAAAACTAAAATTAATTTTTATTTTATTCTTCTAAAATAAAATAAAATTCCTTTATATGAAAGGAACTATTCCAACAGACTGAACATAGTGTGCATTGCAAGGTCGTATTTGCTATGTAAAAAATGATATTATGTTAAATGCATAGCTACCTCATTATTTTTTGTAATTTTCCCAAGGTAAGAAAGCTTTTATCTTCTGAGGAGAAATTCCTTATAGATAATGCAAAACCCAGACTACTTTCGTCAAATATTACGAAAATATATCCATGGAAGATATTTTTTTTTCTCTCTCGAAAAAAAAAAGCCCAAGTAATAAGCCTTGTGTAATATCACTTTTATGTTATTTTTGTGTGGCGATGACAATGCCATGTCTTTTACCCATTTTGGAATGTATCAGTATCTGCTACTTTGGGAATATTTGTGAGCTGAGGATAAGCAAATCTGGACAAATTAAGTGCACAGTACTTTATTGACTGTTTTGTAACCAATCACGCATGTAGCCGAGCCAATCTAATCTGAGCCAACAACTCTCAGCATATTTCTTCAGTCAAATTAGTTTTGGTTTTTTGATTTGTGTTGAATGCACTTATAATTGTTTCACCAATAGCACCCGCTCATTATTTATATTGCAGGTATTTACAGGATGGAATGAAATACACATGTCCAAATACAACTATAAATTCTGTGTAAATACGGTAATCCATAAAAATAAAAATAAAACAATAATACAAATATTTATTTTTTGGAAATCCTCAAATACAAATGATGTACAGTGGGGTATGCTATAACGAACGGATTCTACTACGAATATTCCTATAACGAATGGTTTTACCTATAAAATTGAGAATGCTATAACGAACGCAACTCCTACAACGAACGCAGATGAATACAGGACTATTTCATCTGGCTAATGAATATTATTGTACCGCGGCTCACATAAAGAGCGTCAGGCGCCATATTGGTTCATTGTGTAGTCAGTGCACTACTGAACCTGTTGAAATTTCGTCTTTTGATGTGGAAATTCGTGTTATTTTTATAACTATTTTGTTATACAAGTGTACAATTGTAACATTGAATCGTCAAAAGCGAGTGAGAAAGCTAATAACCCTTGAAACTAAGAAAGAAATTATAAATAAACAGACAAAGTGCCTGTAAGACAGTCACCAAAGAGGGCTAGGAAGGATGACTCCTCTCCTTCCACCTCTTCCCCATAATTCTCTCCTCCCCCCTCCCCCTCTGCCTCCTGTCCTGCATACTAACTACACTAAGGTAAGATAAAGTACCGTATTTTTTACAATTTCCACAGAAATTTTTCACTGTTAAGTGGTTGTATTTGGGGGCCTGGAACGGATTAATCCTATAACGAACTAATGTTATAATGGACGAGGTTCTAGAACCAATTAGATTCGTTATAGCATACCCCACTGTACAAATATTAAAGCCACAAATGAAAATAAAAGACAAATACTGTACAAAGCTTCAAGTACAAGCCTAACATAAACCTTCAAATACTCCTGTAGATAAATTCTAGTTATGAATACAGTATACAGTTATTTTACCATACATTTCATGTAATGTACTACTGAAAATTCAAATGTAAAATATTTTTAGTCACCACTAGTGCAGGTTTCAGTAATTGCAATTCATTTTATGGCAGCCCAAATAAAGGCTGCTAACACTTGCTGTACTGTACTGTATAGCTTTGTTACTGCAGTATGGTTTTAACATTTTTTTTCACATTTTTAATATACAATACTGTGCATTATACAGTACTGTACTGGTACTAACACACATACAGTACAGCACTGCTATATGTGGGTCATGTGACACAATATACCGTACTATTTTCTTTTTTCATTCGATTGTTCTCTTAGGCTTGTGCCTGGTGTTGCATTGTATTTTGTTAAGTTCTGTATATTGCTTATAAAATTTCTATGCTTTCCAAGCTAATTTAAAAAGTAAACAACTGTCAGGGTTTTCAAGGAATTTATTCCCATACATGGGACGACTCGATCGATTGGGTTTTTTTTTTTGGATTATGTACGGAG